AGTGAGAGTCGTGTATCCGATTGAATACTACTATGGCTTCACAAAAACTTCTTTGGCCAGCATGTTCATTCCTGATCACTATTTCTGTGCCCTGGGGGATATAGCCTACAGTGTAGCATCTGTTGAGCAAATAAACAACTGCCATTCACCCATTCTGCCTCATGGCGATTGCTTGGTACCCGTTTGTGGTGTCGGTTGTCTAATGGTCATGCAATAAGTCACCAAGCTATTGTTAGAACAATGGAGAAAGATTTTTCTAAAGCACAATTTCTAACTTATTTCATGGGCATTCTATTGTGATCCAAAGTCTGCAACAAAGCTTCAGCGTAAATGCGTTACTTCCCAATTTATCCCAAACTCATCATTTCGAAGGTGGGCTGGTTTGCTCCCCCCCCCCTCCCTCCCCGTGATCCCAATCCGACTGGGTGGGTTATTATTATTATAAATTTTTCTATTTAAAAAAAAAAATGATTTTTACATATTATTATTATGACTATAAATCCCATTTGTCATTTGGGAAGAAGCAATGATCCAGAATTCTTTAAAACTTCACACCTGGGGCAGTATACACCTCCCCAAATAACAGATCAAGGGCATACATTGACTCATTAACTCTAATAATTATTTGAATTATAAGGCATCTCCTCTATGATAGTTTTCTATTTACTATATTCACTTAGCCAAGTGTCCCAACTCCTAAAGAGAAATATAATTTCTTAGTAATGAGGCATTAATATTATACATTACAAGAGAAAACTACTCCCCGTCCCCACACAATAAAAAAGATCATTTTTTAAATTTTAAAATATATAATGACCAAAAGAAGAAACAAAATATTCCTTACAATGATGGGAACAATGTAAAAGTTGAGTTCTGGACGGTACTCATCCACAAAGGTGATTCTCCCATCAAAGAAAAAGTAACTGATGACACCTGAAAGCGAAGATAAGATTTTGAAGATAAAATATGTTACACAAAATATTGACTATGTATGGAGCAAAGTCTTGAGTGTGAGGTTACAGAAATTCAATGTCAAATCATATATATATATAAAAGGCTCAACATTATGTACATATATAGTACGCCCCAAGGCAAGAAGGAACAGAATTGAGCTAAACATTGCAAAAATTTATAAGATGATTAATTAAAAACAAAGGACAAGAGAGTTGTTTCTGTCTCTTTCGGGCTGAACAATTATACAACTTATGTCATTGATAATGTAAAAGAAAACACACACACACACACACACACACACACACACACACACACACACACACACACACACACACACACACACACACACACAAATAGAGACACACCCACACAAATAGAAACACACAGACATACACTCAGACACACACAACCAAACACATACACGCACACGCACATGCACACACACGTACACATACATGTACACATACGTATGCACACACACACACACACACACACGCACGCGCACACACACACACACACACACACACACACACACACACACACACACACACACACTCAGTTCCACACATTTACATTGAAGAACCAAAAATAGTTAATCCATTTTTTTTCTTCCCTACTCGAGCAACCTCTTTAAACTGAAAACACTGCTAAACCGAAGTTTAAGCAGACCTCACTATATAAATGCCTATGTGAGAAAATAATGAGACACTGACAGCTATAACCAAGAAGAGGAAGAAGCTGGTCACCCGAGTGACTTACCTGTGGCACCCACCACCACCAGCTTGCAAATGAAGAGGAGGAAGTCTGTCACCTTGTCCAGAACAAACACCCGAACAACATTCTTCAGAATCAAATCAAAAGCTCGTTTTGCTGACACGCAGAAGTTCTTTCCATAAACCGCCATCTGAGAATACAATACACCAGATAATAAGTTAAGACACTAAAGATAAGATAAAATGAAATACATTGTGAGGGTCCTACAAGAAATTAACAGAAATAAGAATTACAATTAATTAAAGTTGGATTGCAACAGAAATTGCGCTCTTTTTAAAATTCTGCATATTAATATACAACATTTGCTGTTATTTACTTTTATTTATTATAATTGTCTTCAGTGTAATAAAAGATAAAAATGAGAGATTTGAATTGATAGAATCATGATTCCTATGTAACACATTATCTAAATGTTGATTTTATTTTTTCAAACTGTGTTTACAGATTTTGTAAATTGTCTCTTTTCTTAAGATTTTGATTTTAAAAAATACCAAGGCCTCCACATTTTTCTACCAATAGCTATGACATCTTGCAGGTATTATAGCGTTTTGTGCTACAAGTTGTGACCTACTCTTTCCCAATAACACTTATATCATAAAATCGATTTATCCACAACTAACCACTCACCATTATGAACGCGTTCTTGCAGAGGAAACGCAGGAATTTTTCAAGGCACCAAAAGCAACATTTTAAGCATCTGAAATCATAAAACCAGAATATAATAGTGTGGGTGAGCCTTATTAAAAGCTTTATATGATTAAAGGTAGGAGGAGTTTTATTCAGCGTTTAAGGCCATTGACCCACATAAAAATAAAAAATAAAACATACACATCTTACAGAAGAAACCTCTGTGAAAACAGCATAAACTAAAATTATATATCAACACCATTTAAAATCATTTCAAATGAGTAAAGAGTCTTGCCAAAATAAAGTTAAATAGATTAACAAAGGTGTCAAGTGATTTTTGGAGCTTCTTAACAACATACTTGTTTTTGTAAAGAAACACATGTAGATGAGACAATCGCCATTTAAAAAAAAATGTTTTGTTAGTAAGAGTCTAACAGCACTTGCAATACAATTATATATAGGTCACATAAAAGACAAAGATTAGAGGTGTTATAAGAAAGTAACAAAACACAAGAAAGAAAGAGTGACATAAGAACTATAGATGTTTTGATAGGAAAGGAGGAGCAAACAATAGACCAGTTGCCATCTTAACAGCAACAGGCACCATTGCAAAAATACATTTTTTTTAAAAGTAACACCAAAAAGACATAATAATAATAATAATAATAATAATAATAGTAATAATAATAATAATAATAATAATAATAATAATAATAATAATAATAATAATAATAGCCTAATAATAATAATAATAATAATAATAATAATAATAATAATAATAATAATAATAATAATAATAATAATAATAATAATAATAATAATAATAATAATCAGCAGCTGCAGCAGCAACAGCAACAGCAACAACAACAATAACCATGATGGGAACACTGGTGCTTACTTCATGAAAAACTTGGCCACAGGGTTCTCCGATGCCTTGAGCTTGGAGTCGAGATACTCCAGCATGGTCCTAATGACTTGCACAATGGCGATGAGCAATGAACCAAATGCCAGGGAGCCCAGGTGGTATCTGAAAAGGAGTAAAACACAAAAGTGATCTACACAGGTCAAACTGATCATCATCATCATTAAGCGCCAGATCTGTACCAGATATCAGCCATCATGGTTCTCAGTTAAATCCTTTGCTCAGATGCTCTCAAGAAAGCCAGGTTATCCTGACCTTTCCCTGTTACGTGTCTGTCCAGTCTCTCCAAGTAAGTTGCTCTAGCTCTACCTCTAAATCTGATTGACGATTATAATTGATGTCATACCGAGTTCACACAGCTGATCGAATTCATTTGATTGAGCCGGAGCTAGCTAGATTTTCATCCATAGATGGGGCAAAAGTTATCATTTTGGCACTAAATTCATTCGACTGTGAGCTTTAAAATCAAGTGCATTAAAATTAGTTTTTCAAGGGTGCATGTCGAATCGGTTGGATTGTGCAAAATGGTAACTTTTGCCCCATCCATGAATGGAAGTCTGACTGGGCCCAACTCACTCCGATTGAATCTGCTTGTCCGTGTGCACTGGGCATTATGTTTATTTTCCGCGACTTCGCAACGACCTGTGTGGATGTCCATGTTATTCTCATTTATCCTCTCAGTCCCCCTAGGGGATAAACGGCGTCCCACTGTGAAAAGTGCATATTTTAACTCTGCCATTTCATTTATATGCCTTGCCTATGTACCTACTGCTAAAAACCTATTAGCAGCTGAGCGGATCAAAGAAAAAAAAATGGGGCAAGGTAGCATCAACCAAAATACAGCATCCTATAAGTAAAAACCCCTGCTGTTCGATTATAAATTTTTGAAGTGAATGCCACTGTGATAAACACACCAAAATATAATAATATATGTATAGGCCTACTGTAATGTTCAAGCGCTTATTCTCCTTGTCGCAAAGAAAAATAAGATCAATTTCAACATGGAATAGATGCTTTATCAAGTATCCTCATCTTTCTGACAGGACTTATACCATATTCTATAGCCCACGCTGGTCTTAAGCAGTAGAGTCTTTCATTGGAACATAAATCATTTTATCGATGAGGCAAACACAGGGTCTTCAAGCATAAGAAGATATATGCTTGATGTTACTTAACTTATATTCAAACAAAAATTTTAAGTGAAAAGTAAGAATAGCTTTTAAATGGACAGCCATTGAGGTTTGCCCTCAAGCAAGGAACCTCATACCAGTGTAAAAACATAATACTTTTGTTAAGTATTTTCTTATATCTTTATGTTGAGATGTTTTTCTATCATAAAAATCATAGAGTGGGTGGCCATGACAGACAGGGTCAAGTGGCCGACAAAACAAGCTAAATTAAATAGATGAGGACCTGAGACACTTTATATCGACAAATCTTACCTGAAGGACCTCCAGAAGGCACCCATGAGAGGGAAGGTTGGGATGTCCTTGGGCTTGTTGAAGGCCCAGTAGTAGCTGGAAAAGGCACCAGACAGAGTGAGGTCACCCAGTGCAGCCACAAAGTTGACCAGCCAGAACAGCATGAACAAGTTGTACAGTTGCAGGTAGATGGTGTAGCTGTGAAATGGAAACAAATCATTAAAGAATGTTCTTTCAGAAAATGGATTTTATCAAGTTATTAAATGTTAAAAAGAGTTTTTAAAAAATGAGCATAGAAACATACCTTCCTAAAATATGGAAGAATTTTCTTTTACAAATTGGATTTAATTTCAATCAAGTTAATTAAATGTTAAAAGGAATAAACAATACAAGAAAACCCCATAGAAAACATGCCTTCATAAAATATATGTAAGTAAAAAGCTTGGAGTAACTATTAATACTTCACTATCTTCGGTAGTTATTTAAGAGCCTGGATCCCCATATTTAACGTCCATCCCCAATAGGATCCCGACAAAATGGGTTGAAAGCTTAAAAAACTCCACACAACGACACGCGTTTGAAAACACCCGGTTAGGGATGCGAACCAGGGCCATCCACTTCATAGTCCAGCAAGAAACCAATTGAGCTAACGGCGCACCAAAAATATATGTACCATGTAAAAAAATGCAAGGATAACTGAAATAGAACATTTCAATTGAATATTTAGTTGAGTTAGTAGTTAAGTATACCATTTGTCACTCATTTGTGAGGCATATTGACAAATTGAGTTAGAGAATTACTTCTCACAGTCCACAAATGAAGTTGTCAACCGAAAATAGACATATTAAATCTGTAGGTTTTAATGCCATTTTTTTTTCAGCTTAACTATATGCCTTTTATCATTTCATATTCAAACCCTACCTACCTGTAAACCTCATGTATCTATCCGGGTCGATAGGGCTAAAATCAGAGATTTATCTCATTTTGTCAGCACATTTCGTGAATTCTAAAAAATGCCTACTTACTCTCCTTTCTCGAACTTGATAAAAGCTTCACAGGCATCACTTTCCTGTTGAAAGAGGAGAAAAAGGAATGATGGTGAAGTAAAGTTCAAAATCTCGTCTCACATTTGGATTGTTTGGTCTTTCTTTTTTTAAAATTAATAGTGTGTTAATATGAAGGGATTATAAAGTGTCCAGAGCTGTATTATATGGGAGTGGGTTCTATAGAAATGATCTGTCTCATTATTACTATTGTTACTATTATTATCATTATTATTATTATTATTAACATTATTATAATAATAAATTGCATTTATATCGCGCATTTTTATAAAGCAGTGCTCAATGCTCTGTACAATAATATAAAGAACGTATGCAGCGCACAGCTCCTTTAGTAATTCTCTCTCTCTCTCTCTCTCTCTCTCTCTCTCTCTCTCTCTCTCTCTCTCTCTCTCTCTCTCTCTCTCTCTCTCTCTCTCTCTCTCTCTCCAGTACATCCTTGAGTAAAGACAATCCCACAAAGCTTACCGAGACACCCTCGCACACATTGATGACATCACACAGTCAAAAATTCTTTCAGAACAGAACAGCATAAATAAACGATACTAAGAGAACATAATAGATACTGAGAGAAGACAATAATATTAATTGTATTGGGAATGTCGGAAATTACAGATTGAAGCTGGACTGAAACAAATGTGTTTTAAGTGCTGATTTAAATTTTGAAGAGGTAGACTCCAGTAGATGAGCTAGCAAAGGGTTCCATAGGGAGGGGGGGAGGGTGCGAAAAAGCTCTCCCTCCGAGTCTCTGACTTTTGCTTTGGACACGTCTTAAATGTCTTTTCGTCTCCGATCTTTAAGGCCGAGATGGTATATATTCGAGGACCATGTCACAAAGATATGAAGGTGCAATGTTGTTGACGCACTTAAAACAAAGAACAATTAATTTGTACTGAATTCGTGCTTTCACTGGGAGCCAATGTAGTTGAATTAGCATTGGTGTTACATGCTCTTTGAAAGATTTCTTTAAAATTTAGCGAGCAGCTTGGTTCTGGAGTCGCTGTAACCTATTTAACGTTTCAGTGGGAAAGTTTCCAAACAAAGAAATGAGGTAGTCTAGATGTGAAAGGACAAAAGAAGAGAAGAGTGTTTTGATGGAATCAACTCTAAGATATGTTGACATTTGTCCTATTCTGCGTAGTTCTAAATAAATTACTTTACATAGATGGTTTATATGATGGTGCATAGATAGTTTGCAGTCAAAATAAAAGCCTAGATTTTTCGCTTTATCTGTGAACAGATGTTATCATTCCCAATACATATATGGTAAAAATTGCAAAGCAACATCCCTGGTTTGGCATTGCAAACAGAACTTCAGTCTTATCATCATTTATTTTAAGTATGTTTGATATCATCCAGATTTTTACATCAACAATAGGCCCAACATTTTTCCTTGCTGGTAACTAGACAATTGAAGTTTTTGGTAAAACAGACTTGGTAGTTAACGTCGTGCTTCCTATAATTATTGAACCTATTATTCTTATTACTATTGTTATTATTATTATTACATGTTTCATGAAAAGGGATAACTTACAGTTTCGTTGCAGTCGCCCACATATTCAAAGAGGCCCTTAGCCTGTATCTTCACAGCCTCTTCGTTAATAGAACCGTTGGCAAATGTGACATTGTTCTCCGATGGCTTGGGTTCTCTGCCCACAGACGCTAAAAATCTTAGAAATTGTTGAGGAAAGTACGTGGGAGGCTCACATTAAACAAACAAACAAAAAACAATGTGCATTTAGCACTACACTATTATGCCTCTATTTCATGTTTGGACTTTATTTAATGTCTCATACTTACATTTTGGACTTTTTTAAAAGTGTCTAAGTCAAACAATTTGATCCTTTGAAAGACTTAAGGGCTTTTATGGAGTGTCATTGAAGGTCTACTATAGGCCTACATCTACACTGATCTCTGATACCCTGCTCTAAAGTAAAACAATGAAGGCATAATATGTCCCCTGCAAAAAGGTAAAACAATGAATGTAACGTTCCCCCTGCACTAAAGTAAAACAAAGAATGTAACATTTCCCCTGCCCTAAAGTTGAACAATGTGACATATGACTCTTCCTCAGACACAGACGAAAGGCAGCACAGTCTA